CGCCGGGAGCTGCCCAGCGGCCCTCGCCGTGGGGCCGCGAGGGGCGGGCAGGCCTCGAGGAGAGCGCAGCGGGAGGAGGCGGAGGCGGAGGAGGGCCCGCGGCACGAGCCGGGCGGGTCCCGACCTTCCGGGGGGGGCCCCTGGCCCTCGACGGGGGGCCCCGCGCTGAGGAGAGCCGCCTCGTGGGCGTGGGGTGTCCTCTGTTGCAGAGGGCGCAGCGAGGCTGGCGCTCAGCGTCGTCGTCGTCGTCGTCGTCGTCGTCGTCGTCGTCGTCGTCGTTGTCGTCGTCGTCGTCCGGCCCAGCGGCGCCGCCCTCTCGGAGGCGCGAAGAAGGCCAAGAGGCGGAAGGGCGAGTCGCAGGCGCAGGAGGAGGCGGAGGACAGCCTGGGCAGGAGGAGGAGGGGGGGGGGAGGAGGAGGAAGCTGTCTGAGGAAACCAGAGGATCAACCTGCAATTGCGATAAAACTCCAGCGCGTGGTATCTACTCCTTCACATTCAGGTTTCTGGTGCCTGGTATATAGTTCCGCTACCACTCCCTCCGCCTTGTTTTTTTGTATTCGATTGATAGCACGATGTGCTTCTTAATTGTTTCTTAGGGGTGATGCAGTGCGGTGTGCTGTGCCTACGTCTGCGTCATGCGGCTTGAAGGTTGTTCAAGATGGGGCGCACCAGTCTCGATTGTGTAGGCACATCATGCAGGACCATACACATGCATACACATACATGTATCGGAGGTAAGGGGGTGAGATCGCAGTGAAACGGAGAGATCACACTGGAGAGTCGATTCGGTTTCGTGTTCGTGTCGTGCATGCGGGCAAGGCGAAGCGGCGTGGGCGGGCGAGAGGAATGAACCCTCGCTTGCCAGGGCGCCGCCGGGCCAACAGACCGTCCCCTCCGTTTGGCCAGCGGTGGCCGGGGGTATCCCGCCGTGGTGTCCCGATGGTGTCCCGTGGTGTTCCGTGTCTTGTGGCGCGGTGTCCCGTGGTGTCCTGTGGTGCCCCGTGAGGACGGTAGTGAGATCGATAGAAGGATCGATAGTGAGATCGATGGTGAGATCGATGGTGAGATCGATCGTGAGATCGATAGTGAGGTCGATAATGAGATCGATACTTATCCGTAAGGGCTTCGCCCCCTGCCGCGGGCCCCCTCTCTATCATAATGGGATATAACAGTCGCGTCGGTGCGTCTCGGCGCTGCCTTGGCGCATCTGGGAACAGCATGCGGGGGCGGATAGGAATCATCAGAGCATATTGAAACGTTGGCGTTATCGAAGACGCCTACGGCGAGTCACCGCCGCCCCCTGCCCTTTCGGAAGCGCCTATGTGGCCGAACGTTGAGGCCAGAGCCCTGCCACGGACCATGTGTTCTCCGAGTCGGTTTGGAAAGCCTTCGGGGAACACGTGGGGGAGGACGGGGAAGAGGAGGAGAGTGAGGAATTGGCGTGTTCGGGGCCCCTCGGTGGCTCTTGTGAGCTTTTGGAGGCGTCTTGGGGCCTGCTGGCCGAAGGTTGGGTCAGATCCTTGCCAATCTTTCGGAACGAGTGTTCCACGAATCGGTTTGGAGAGCTTTCGGGGAACACGTGGAGGAGGTTGGGGAAGAGGAGGAGAGTGAGGAAAAAGGGGAAGGGAGGAAGAGTCCTCTTGGGAGCCTCTTGAGGCACTCGGCCATCTTGGCGGTCTTGGAGGCATTTTTGTTTGGACCGCTATGGAGGCCAAATTGGAGTGATCTTGGGCTCTCTTGGTGCCATCTTGGCCACCTTGCACGCATCTTGGAGACTATCTTGGGCCATGTTGGCCGTCTTGGAGGCGTCTTGGGACAGTCTTGGAGGCCATCCTGGGCCGTCTTGGAGGGATCTTTCGCGGACTTTGAGGTCCTGAATTGTCTTTCGAACCATTTTACGAAGATCCTAGCTTTTCGTCCGGCATTGGCTCGGTTGATGTTGGATTGTGCCATCGGCATTTGTTCCCTGAAGCAGCTTACACATGATTACGGAATGCCTTTCGTTAATCTTGGGCTTTGTTGGATGCGGAGCTTGACCAAGCCATCGGGCGATGTGTTCCCCGAATCTTGTCTCGACACCTTCGGGGAACGCTTGGGGGGAAGAGAGGGTGAGAAGGAGAGGGGACAGCAGGAGGGAGCAGGAAACCTCTTGAAAGCTTCTTGGGGCACTCTTGGGCTCTTGGTGCTTTCTTGGAGCTTGCTGGGGACCTTTTGAAGGCCTCTTGGAGGCCTCCTTGGGCTTCTTGGGGACCTCTGGGGTTTCTTTGAGAGCTTCTTTGGTCGTCTTAGGGCGTTCCTGGCCCATCTGACCCCGTCGGAAGCCATCTATGAGGCCTCTCGGAGCCGACTTCGGGCCCTCATGGGACGTTTCGGAGCCGTCTTCGAGGCAATCTAGGCGTCTTGGAGGACTCTTGGGTCGTCTTGGGGCCGTCTTGGGGGCTTCTTCGGCTGTTATGGGGCCATCTTGGAGGGCTCTCGGACGATCTTGGAGCTATCTTGGGGGCCGCTTGGGCCGTCTTGGGCCGTCGGAGAGTTGAACAGAAGTAAATGCCCAAACCCTGTGAACAACTCAAAGAAAATTAATGATGTTGGCCCTTTCGGGCCTTCCTGGAGGACGTCTTGGAGGCCTCTTGCGGGCCGTTTGGGCCGTCTCAGGCCATCTTGAGGCCATTTTGGGCAGTCTTGGGTGCATTTTGGTGCCATCTTTGCTCGGCCGTCTTGGAGGCATCTTGGAGGTCATCTTGGCCTTCTGGAGGCCATTTTGATCCTTTCGGGCCTTCCTGGAGGATGTCTTGGAGGGCTCTTGGGGCCATCTTGGAGGCCTCCTGGGCGATCTTGGGGCGCTCTTGGGGGCCTCTTGACCCGTCTTGGGCTGTCGGAAGGCCGAAAGGAAGCAAATGCCCAAGCTCTTCAAAAACCTTAGGACAACCAATGATTTTGGCCTCTGCGGGCCCTCGTGGAGGACCTCTTGGAGGCCTCTTGGGCCGTCTTGGGGGCATCTTGGACCCTCTTGGATCGTCTTGGAAACCATCGTTCACCATCTTAGTCGGACTTGGAAGCCATCTTGGACCATCTTGCCCGTCTTGGAGGCGTCCTGGAGTCCATTTGGGGCCATCTTCGGCATGAGAGGCATTGACATGTGCAGTTTGAGGTCTCTTCGGGTGGCCGGCGGGACGGGCCGACGCTGAGTTTTCTAAAAGAATCCAAACCGTCTAGGATCTAACACGCCAGACACCCTTGTGATAAATCAACAGGGGGCGGCGGATCGAAGACGCCTACGGCGAATCACCGCAGCCCCCTGCCTTTGTGGAAGCGCCTATGTGTCCGACAGGTGGGCTAGAGCTTGGCCAAGCTATCAGACCATGTGTTCCCCGAGTCGGTTTTGAACGGTTTCGGGGAACGCGGGGGGGAGGAAGGGGAGGAGGAGGAAAAGGAAGAAAAAGGAGAAGGGGGAGGATGCCTCTTCGGAGCCTTTTGAGGCACTCGTGGGCTCGATTAGACCATCTTGGCGCCATCTTGGAGGCCATGTGGGGCTATCTTGGGCTCTCTTGGGGCCTGTTGAGGGCCTCTTGGCCCTTTTGGGGCTTCTCGGGGACTTCTTTGGCCGTCTTATGGCGTTCCTGGCCCGTATAACGCCGTCGGGAGCCGTCTTGGGGGCCTCTCTGAACCGACTTGGGGCCCTCGTGGGGCGCTTCGGGTTCGTCTTGGAGGCCATCTTGGGCGTCTTGGAAGTAGGGAGTCGTGCAGGGTCTGGAAGCGAAGGGCGCGCTGGTCAGCGATCCGTTGGCACTTTCGCTCGTCAGTGCGGCGGTCCTGTTCCGCCGCCAACCGCGCCTGCTCCTCTTGGGAGGGCAGCAGGGTGTGGGGGCCGACGGGGTCCGCCCGTACTTTGGCTGGTGAGAAGCCAAGTGTCTCGCTGAGCGCGTTTCGCTTGCCCGGAGTCCCCGCGAATCTGGTCCAGAGCCCGGCTGATTCCGCCCATTCTGCGAGGGTGTGCAGTTGGGACTCCGTTGCCGCAGCTGCCATCCTGGCGTTCAGCATCGCGATGGCGCCGTCCTGCGCGCGAGTGATGGCGACGTTGATGCGGTGGTGGCGTTCGTCCACAAATCCCCAGTGTCCTGTGGAGTTCTCGCGGGTAGTACAATTGCTCTAGGTTAGCCTCGTCCCCCTGGCTTCCGTCAGTGGTGGACACGCCGACAAAGCCCCGCTCGACCAGGCGGGGGCAGGCTGCTCCGATCCCGTGAAAGGAGAGCCCCGGGCCATTGAGTTCGGTGCGGGGGTGCCGGCCAAAGCCTTGTCCGGAGGGTGGGGCTTTGCCTGCTTTCCCGGATCCTTTGGTGGGGCGATTGCCCAGCGGGTCGGAGGCGCGAGAGGGAGGCGAGGCGCCCCGGGGAGCCGTGCCCTTCCCTTTCCCTTTTTCGTGGTGCGCGTTGCGACAGGTGTGGGTGTCGGCAGGCCATTAAGTCTTGATAGAAGCCGCTTGAGCGCGGTGCCCGCAGACGATCGGGACGCGCTTGCCCGTGGCCAACAAAATGGCCCTCGATGGCCTTGACGATGTCGCAGACGGTCGCGGCTTCCCTGAGGTTGGCAGTGCCTTCTACAAGAGCTTTGGGGACAGTTCAGCCGATTTCTCGTGAATTATCAATACCCGCAGGGAGTCGCCTGGCTGGGCCCCGTATCGGGGGTTGCAGAAGCCGTGGGCCCCAATGTGGATGGAGTCGCTGTCGTCGTCTGGTGGGGGGGGGTCGCGGGAAGCCTGCCCGATCGGGTGGGCCTGTCTCCGCGGGGTCCCACCGATGGGTGGCCTCTGCGCCAGTGCATCAGTCAGGCTGGAGCATTGTTCTCCCGCGTAAAGTGTGGAGACGCTCGCTGGAGAGTGCTGGGGTGCATGCGTTTCGTGGCCCCATAGGGGACTCCGCCGAAGGTTCCAGTGGCAGGGTCCGCATGCAGTTCCATCTCCATTTCGGCGCACCCCTCACACGTGCCGTGGCCCCATAGGGTGCTCCACCGAAGTCCCCAGCGGCAGGGTCCGCATGCAGTTCCACCCCCGTTTCGGCGCACCCCTCACACGTTTTTTGGCCGCATGTGGTGCTCCACCGAAGGCCCCAGTGGCACCCTTCGCATGCGTCCGTGATTTCTTTGTTCCTGCGCTCGGGTTTGGCCTCCCCGCGCCACCCCCCGAAAGACGCGCACCAGAGGTTAGTCTTACCTGGAGCCAGTCTTGCGTGTAGTCGAGTTCGGACTTTTTCACCTGCAGGGGCAGGGTCGGGTCGGGCGACAGGGTCGAGCGGGAAAGTGGCTTCGCATCGCTCGGCGAGGACCATCGAGGAGCATCTGGGATCATCTTGCGAAACGTAATTTCACGAAGCCAGAACGAACGCACGGGGAATTGACGTCCGAGCGATGGCAAGGGGGCGGGGGATGCAAACTCTGGTGCGTGCTGCTGGTCTCAGCCCCGCCGCCGGGCGCCTTCCTCGATGCACGGGCGCCTCCGGCGCCGGGAGGCGCCGGGAGAGTCGGCTGAGTGAGCTGAGTGGGGGCGATGATTGGGGGGGGGAAAGCCTCTTCTGGCCCTAGAGGGCCCCTCCAGGGGCCCTAAAGGGCTCCTTCTCGTCAGTCCTCGCTGCTCCCCCATCTATCGCCCCGCACTGATTCGCGCCCAAACTGGCCCGCTAACGCGCTTGTTGCTATCCCCACTTTCCGTCCGAACCGACAGGGCTCACATGTTGTTACAGCGGGGGCCAGCCCCGTGAAGACCGTGCGCACCACACCTTCTGAGAGGCGGGGGGGCTGTCTTCGAAAGCCAGCATGGCCAAACCGATCCCCATGCCCACTCGGCCATGGTCTCTCAGCGCCACCAGTCTTCAGAACAAAGCAACAGGTACTAATACTGCGACCCTTGCCTCGCTTTCGCTTGTTTGGGCCTCCTAGGAGGCCCTCGTCGTTACCGCTGGATTCGCCTCGAAATTCTATCCAGAACGCACCCCAGGAGAGGTCCAGGGAGTGGCGGTATCTGTATCCTTAGATTTCCCCAGGTGTCCTCCCTTCCATTCAGGGGTAGATTCCGCGAAATCCGAAGGCAACGGCATGTATGTATATTTATAATGTGAATATATATATATATATATATATATAGATATACATATAACGGCGCACCGGGTCCGGGGGCCCGGGGCCGGGACCTCGACCACAAATGTGGGCTCCAGGGGGCCCGGAGGTTCGTCGGGGCTTGCCGGAGGCCTCCCCGGTCAGACAAGACGGCCCCAGGAGCGCCCAAGACGGCCCAAGAAACTTCCAAGAGGCCTCCAAGAGGGCTCCGAGATGCTGAAGATGGCCTCCAGACGTCCAAGGACGCCCCCAAGAGGCCCCAAGAAGCCTCCAACATGCGTCCCAAGAGGGCCCCTAGACGCAAAAATTGGCCCATTCCCTTCGTAAAACGTACATTTTCAACAAAGTTGTCTTTTGGGCTTTCCGACGTTACAGGACGGCCCAAGAGGCGCCCAAGACCGCCCCAAGACGGCCCAAGAAGCTTCCCAGAGGGCCCCAGGACAGCCCAAGAGGGCCCCAAGACGGCCCAAGAGGCGCCCAAGATGGCCCAAGAGGGCCCCAAGACGGGCCCAAGAGGGGGCCCAGAGGGGGACCACGAACCGCAAGCTCGAGCCTTCCGCCCCAAGAGGCCGCCAGGAGGCCCCCAGGAGGCCCCTCAAGAGGCCCCAGGAGACCCCAGACGTCCAAGGACGCCCCCAAGAGGCCCCAAGAAGCCTCCAACATGCGTCCCAAGAGGGCCCCTAGACGCAAAATTGGCCCATTCCCTTCGTAAAACGTACATTTTTAACAAAGTCGCCTTTTGGGCTTTCCGACGTTACAGGACGGCCCAAAGGCGCCCAAGACCGCCCCAAGACGGCCCAAGAAGCTTCCAAGAGGGCCCCAGGACAGCCCAAGAGGGCCCCAAGACGGCCCAAGAGGCGCCCAAGATGGCCCAAGAGGGCCCCAAGACGGGCCCAAGAGGGGGCCCAGAGGGGGACCACGAACCGCAAGCTCGAGCCTTCCGCCCCAAGAGGCCGCCAGGAGGCCCCCCAGGAGGCCCCCAAGAGGCCCCAGGCCCCTCAAAGAGACGCCCCCAAGAGGCCCCAAGAAGACGTCCAAGGACGCCCCCAAGAGGCCCCAAGAAGCCTCCAACATGCGTCCCAAGAGGGCCCCTAGACGCAAAAATTGCCCATTCCCTTCGTAAAACGTACATTTTCAACAAAGTTGTCTTTTGGGCTTTCCGACGTTACAGGACGGCCCAAGAGGCGCCCAAGACCGCCCCAAGACGGCCCAAGAAGCTTCCAAGAGGGCCCCAGGACAGCCCAAGAGGGCCCCAAGACGGCCCAAGAGGCGCCCAAGATGGCCCAAGAGGGCCCCAAGACGGGCCCAAGAGGGGGCCCAGAGGGGGACCACGAACCGCAAGCTCGAGCCTTCCGCCCCAAGAGGCCGCCAGGAGGCCCCCAGGAGGCCCCTCAAGAGGCCCCAGGAGACCCCAGACGTCCAAGGACGCCCCCAAGAGGCCCCAAGAAGCCTCCAACATGCGTCCCAAGAGGGCCCCTAGACGCAAAAATTGGCCCATTCCCTTCGTAAAACGTACATTTTCAACAAAGTTGCCTTTTGGGCTTTCCGACGTTACAGGACGGCCCAAGAGGCGCCCAAGACCGCCCCAAGACGGCCCAAGAAGCTTCCAAGAGGGCCCCAGGACAGCCCAAGAGGGCCCCAAGACGGCCCAAGAGGCGCCCAAGATGGCCCAAGAGGGCCCAAGACGGGCCCAAGAGGGGGCCCAGAGGGGGACCACGAACCGCAAGCTCGAGCCTTCCGCCCCAAGAGGCCGCCAGGAGGCCCCCAGGAGGCCCCTCAAGAGGCCCCAGGAGACCCCAGACGTCCAAGGACGCCCCCACGACGCTTCGCGTCACCAATTTCTTCTCACAACGATTCCTGGGTCTGTGACTCGACAGAACCTAAGCGCGCGCGAAGCGCGCGCGTGGTTCTAGTACACATCTACGTTGGGGGGTACAGTCGACCTTGCCAGATCAAGGGCGCCCTTGCGTCCCGTGCGTTCGCGCCCCGGGGCGGCGTGGCCCTTTTACAAGGGCCTCGCGCCCGCTCGCGTGTCCTCTCGAGTCGAGTTCCGCCTGGAGGTCGGCCAGTGGGGCCACAGTCGCGCCAGTGGCGAGGGGGGCCAGGCCGAACGGTGCTCACAGAGGCCGCCCCCGTCGTCCTGCCCCACTCGCGCGTCGCCGACGCAGCTGCTGGTGCGCGGGGGAGCAGCAGGGCTGGCCGTGCTGCCGGGCTCCTCTCCGCGCCGCCCCCATACCGGTGGGTGCCACAGGAGGAGGGGCGGCCGGCCATGCCGTCGCTCAGGCCAGCTGCAGAATGAGCCAGGTGTTGCGGCGGTGCCTGCAGAGCTCACCACCCACCAAACCACCCCAACCCAACCCGAAGGCCTCAATTTGCCCTCCATTTCCAGTTGGGGGGGGGTCGGGGAACATCGAAAAAACACGTATGGAGCCCGTACCCCCCCCAACCCGAAATTGGGGTCTTCGGGTTGGGTTGGGGTGGTCTGGTAGGTAGTCAAGAGCTGCCGCGCCACCTGGCAACGGGACGGGCGAGGTTCTGAGGCACTGCGGCAGCTACCAGAGCACAGTCAGTTCTGGCTGCCCTGCAGGATAAGACCAACCTCACCGAGAAGTGGTCCCAGGTGCTCGAGACAATCAAGGCTCGGAAGGGAGCAATGCGGGATCCGGTATGGGCTTATGATAACCTGTCTGAAGTGTCTTGTTGTATGTCTTCTCTTGTTTCCCACGTCCATGCTCTACCACATTGTGCGCGCATGTGTGTAATGAGGGGGAGCGCACACGCATACAAAGTGAGACAGATGCAGGCACCGGAAGAATGGACCTGTCTCAGGGATCGGGGCGCACACAATCATACATATACAGACATGTATATACATCTTTCGTTTGGTATACGTACAGGTCTAGGGCTATGTGTACAATGATAAGTGTATGCGTCTGCATATCTATTTAAACGCGTAGCAGTGTATATATTTGGATATAGATATAGAAATATAGACATATACGCATATGTTGTGTATGTGCATGTATATATTTATATGCATACACACGAGAGCGACGCACGCGATTCGCGCGCACTTAGGTTCTAGTCTTAGCTGCAACACGCTCTGTGGCTCTCGTTTTCCCTCGTCTGATCGGGGACCTAGCGGAGTCCGCCGTATGGCGGGCTTCTGGAAGTCCAACTGCGCGAAAATGCGCGGGTTATTTAGGAACCCGCGGATAGTCAGTGATGTTTGCTTGTTGGTCGCTCTTGGGCTGTTCCAGCCTGCGCAGTGGTAGGTCGAGGGCGTAGTCGGTAGTGCTTCGGTCTCAGATGTTCGGATTCAGCTTCCATGGCGAGGGTGCTACTGTGATGGCGAGGTCGCTGGGATTGCGGTCTGAAGGGTAGGTTGTTCAGGTGAGGGTGCACGGTTTTTTGGCGCCACGGTATGGGTTCGAGATTGGGGCTTTGGTGCTCGGTGAGAGTGTTTGGAGGTTATGCGCGGGGTATGGTAGGATGAGGGTGATACCGTAGGGGCGGGGTGAGAGACTCATGGTTCGGGCGGGCTTGTGCTGGAGCTGTGTGTTGGGGCAATCTTTTGAGCTTCGTGTTAGGGGCGAAGGCGTCAGGGACAGAGTGGCGCAGATGCCGGGTGGACGTCCGTGTGTGGATTGGGGCTTCTTCGGGGCCTCGAGGCTCGTCGCCTGCACGGCGGGCACACTTTCGCGGTGGCCAACGCGGGCCGCCAGCGCGGCGCGCTGCACTTGAAACGAGGGCGCTTGCGCGTGACCTTACGCGGGCAGCTTACGCGCAATTGTCCGCGCAGTCGACCCCAGTCCCTTCCGTCGCTCACATATTTGCGGCGTCTCCTGGTGATTCAACGTCCGGTCTCTTCTTTCGGACATCGCTCGTCCTCCTCCTCCTCCGCGGCGCCGATGCATCGCCGACGTCGTCGATTCCCTCTGATGCATTGTCGATGCGCGGCGATCCACCCTGTCTGCTTGGACACTAATTGGGAGGCCTATATCCACTTCGTGTGCACGGCTCCGGGTCTCCTGGGCGCTCAAGGCGCCACCCTGCTGCACCCACGCGGTGCATGATGCAGGCCGTGTCTTTGTCCGAGCGCTCCTTCCTCACGGTGCCCCCCCGCCTGAACCCGCTGAGGACACACACATAGATATATACATATATGTTCATATACACATGTATGCATGATTATTTACATACAAAGTATTACATGCACATATCGATCTGTACACATATGCACATAAGTATTGCATGAGCATAAGTATTACATGCAACTGTACACATATAGGTTTGGTATACATATTTATACATATATATATACATAGATGCAGTTGTCTGTTTGTGATATCTTTGCATGGTGTACCGTCTAGCTCATGTGCGGCCCCGTCTGCTTGGCCTCTCGAAGCCATGTTGGCCCAAGCGATCTGGATTCGAGCTGTTCGCTTGCCGCTGCGATTCGGCTCAGCTTCCTCTGTTTCAGGATGTTCGTGTATCTTGTCGCTTGCAGTGGGAGGATACTGGCCGAAATGGATGCCAGCGAGTCCTGGGAGCTGTGTGATGTGCTTGCAGCAGTACCCAAGGGAGACAGGATGCTCGGTAAGTGGGTACGCGTTTTGTTCGGACAGTCTGAGCTGCACGAGGGGGTCACACTGGCTGCTATTGGGGTCGTGAATGGCTCCCGATTGACACTTGTGGTGAGTCCGTCGTTTCGCGTTGTGACTGGCAGCGCTCGGGGGTACCCTGCCAAGGTCTGGGCGGCTGCCACTGGGGAGTGCCTGCGTACGCTGGGGGGTCACTGGGACAAGGTTTGGTCAGTCAATTTTTCACCTAACGGGCTGTGTGCTCTGACTGGTTCATGGGATGGGACTGCAAAGATATGGGACACAGTCAGTGGGGAGTGCCATCACACATTCCGGGGCCATCGAGACGCGGTATGTTGTGCATCATTCTCACCCGATGGGAGGCAGGTGCTGACTGGTTCGTGGGATGGGACAGCAAAGAGATGGTGCGCTGCAACTGGGGATTGCCTGATCACGTTTGTGGGTCACCAAGAGGCGGTAAAGTGTGCGGTCTTCTCTTCGAGCGGGCAGCATGTGTTGACCAGTTCGGAAGATCAGATGGCAAAATTGTGGAACGCAGCGACTGGCGATTGTCTTCGCACGTTTGAGGGTCACCGCGGCGCAGTGAGGTGCGTTGCTTTCGCATCGACTGGTCGGGAAGTGCTGACTGGCTCAGAAGACGCCACGGCAAAGATCTGGGCTGCCAGCAGTGGGGAGTGTCTGCGTACGTTGGAGGGCCACCACGACATGGTGTTGTGTTTGGCATTTTCACCTGACGGGCAACACGTGCTAACAGGCTCGGAGGATGGCTCAGCTAAGATTTGGGCTTGTGCCACTGGGGAGTGCCTGTGTACACTGGACATCCACCAGGATGCCGTCTTGTGCTGTTCGTTTTCGCCTGATGGGCGGCAAGTGTTGACTGGCTCGTCGGATGGCACTGCGAGGGTGTGGTTCTCGTCTAGTTGGGAGTGCACCGCTACGTTGAGGGGCCATGATGGCTTGATACTGTCGGGCATGTTTTCGCCCAACGGGCAGCGTGCTCTGACGAGCTCGTCGGACGGCACGGCGAAGATCTGGCAGGTTGACACCACGTCGGCCGATGCGTTTGGGGAGTGCTTGTGCACGCTGGCGGGCCACGTCCTGTCCGCCGCGTTTTCGCTCGACGGGCACAGAGTGCTGACGGGTTCGTCCGACGGCTCTGCGATGGTCTGGGCCGCCAGTTCGGGATCATGCATGTGCGCCTTGGAAGGTTGCTGCGTGAGGGTGAGTCGCGTCATGTTCTCGTCTGATGGGCAGCGGGTGCTGACTGGGTCGCCGAGTGGCATCGTGACTATCTGGGCTGCTGTCACTGGGGAGCGCCTCTGCACCCTCGAGGGTCACCAGGACTCCCTGCTCTGCTCCGAGTTCTCGCCCGACGGCCTGCGCGTGCTGACCGCTTCGGAGGACTGCACGGCAAAGGTCTGGGACGCTGCCACGGGGGCGTGCTTGCAGACTCTCCGGCTCCGCCGCGAGGCCGTGAGGCTCGCCGTGTTCTCGCCCGATGTGGAGGAACAACTTGCGTGAACATCATTTCTCGGAGGTCTGCTCGGATTTCGTGGATCGGCGCTGGGCCCCCCCGTGCGGCGCCTCTGGCGGCGCCCCTGGCGCCGATCCGAGGCGTCGGCGTGGACCTCCGAGACATTGTTGCGCGTTTCGCTTTGTTCCTCTGTGAAGGGCAGCAGGTGCTGCTTGCCTGCGCGGGCGATGCAGCGAGCATCTGGGCCCTTGCCTCTGGGGAGTGCCTGCACGCGCTCAGGGGCCACCGGGGCGCGGTGAGGTGCGGCGCGTTCTCGCCGGACGGGCGGCAGGTCCTGACCGGGTCGGAGGACGGCACCGCGAGGTGTTGGTCTACCGCCGGTGGGCAGTGCCTTCATACGCTGGCGGGCCACGATGAGATGGTCGGGTGCGTCGCGTTCTCTCCTGACGGGTTGCAGGCACTGACGGGCTCGTTGGACGGCACAGCGATGATCTGGACAGTCAGCGATGGGGCGTGTCTACACACCCTTGGGAGCCACCACGACACGAAGGAGGACGAGTGCTGTCCTCGGTTGGGATTCGCGAGCTCGGGCACTGCCCTCGCGCCGTTGATTTGCGCGGCTGTCTCGCCTGACGGACAGAAGGTCGTGACCGGATCGGAGGACGGCAAGGCAAATATTTGGGCCTCTGCTACTGGGGAGTGCCTGCACACGCTGGAAGGCCACTGGGGCAGTGTGACGCGAGCCATGTTTTCACCCGACGGGCAGCAGGTGCTGACCAGTTCCTCGGACGGCACGGCTAAGATTTGGACTGCGACCCATGGACGATGCTTGTACACTCTCACGGGCGCGGTCGCGGCGTTCTCGCCAGTACCTTAATTTTGGCGAGGGAAGCAGCATGAGAGTGGCAGGAGTCGTGGACTGTCCGAAGAGGGCCGGCGATGACGTCGACGACGATTGTGATATCCAAGCTCCGTTGAACTGTGCTCGACCAGCCTCTCGTGGCCAGAGCGGCGGGATGCTGACTAGTGTACATCCAGAGGCGTGGCACAGTTGGATGGGCACCGTCTTGCGGCATTTGACGAGAACGAAGCCGACGACGACTCACGCATTCACCCACTGAAGCCATACGCCCTCTGGCGCGTGGGCGGGAGAATCAGTTAAGCGTTACTGCAACGAGGAGGAGGAGGAGGAGTAGGAGCTGGAACGGGGAGGGGGTGGGTGGGAGGAAGGGATCAAGTCGCCCTTTATCTGCGCATATGCGCGCCTGTCAGGCTCGCAAGCCACTCGTCCTGCGCGGCATCGCGGGTGTATTGGGTAGCGAACTCGTGCCACGAAAACGCGTGATTGACGCAGTTCATGGATTCAGTGTGTGTGTGTGTGTGTGGCTCGAAACGAACTGATGCGGTGGCGCCAGCGCGTGCCCTTTCGTTGTTTGGTTGCCCGCCCCTTCTCAACACGGGCAGCAGTGTACCAGACGGCAGCGTTGTCTCTCCCTCCTCCCTCTCTCCTCTTCTCTTTCTGTCTCTGTCTCTGTCTCTGTCTCTCTCTCTCTCTCTCTCTCCCTCTCTCTCTATACACACATATTTGCGCAAACATCGTCTCTCCGCTCGCCCCAGGTTCCCCAATGGCACCCCTGCGGCATAAGACTCTGAACAGCTTTACTGCTACAGTGGGGGCCACGACAGGGGGGAACGACGGAATGACGGGAGGATTGGGATGGGGATATGGGTCGGGACAGTGACATAGGGCTAGGGATATATATGGATAGGGATTTTGGTCCAGGGATAGGGCAACGGGATGCCATGGGCGGCAACGGGAGACCATGCGAGACAAAAAGGAGACAGTGGTGCCCGACCAAATCTTGGATTTTCCAGCGCACTCACCGGTTTCTTAGAAAGGGCATGTCGAACTCGGACAGACAAGCTGTTTCGGGAATCGGGGAAGTTGGTGTTGGAGTAGCTGGACGCTGCACGGGACATCCGCTTCTGCAGATGAGAAGGATGATGGGGAGGCTTCTTACCGACACAGTGTTTGGCAGAAGGTGCTACGTACGGGAAGTCGCGTAAAATCACGTGCATATGTGCTATATATATATATATATATATATATATATTAGTTGGTGGATTCATTGTCCAGCCTTGATGATTTCCTACTTCCCGTTCTCTCTTGGGAGGTCAAGAGACCGCTGCTGGTGTATGAGCAGGACTCGATCCCCTATCGCAGATGCCTGATGGACACCGCCTAATCTGGCGACCCCAGCGTGCACATGAGTGCGCTCTCTTGGCAGTTTTTTAGGACAAGATGTCCCTCTCTCTCACTCTCTGGCCAACGCACCTTTGTACTTCAGTTTCTGCATCCTGGCAACTGTCAGCACGTTCATGAGCCACAGCACCAGCGCAGCAACAAGGGTGTGTTTGTGTGTGTGTGTGTGAGTGTGTGTGTATGTGTTTGCATGTGTGTGTGTGTGCGTGTGTGCGTGCGTCTTTTTCTCTCCCTGTCTCTCTCTCTTGCTCTCTCTCTCATGTTCTCTTGGCACGCGTCCCATCCTCGTTTCTTTTGAACCGCTGGTTGCAATCCTTTGGGGCGCCAAAGGAGAGGTGTGCGTCTCTCTCTCTCTCGCTCTCTGTCTGTCTGTCTGCCTGTCTGTGCAGTTTTTTTTTTTTTTGTTGTTCTCTCTCTCTCTCTTTTCCTCTTTCGCTCTCACTCTCGCCCGCTCTCTCCTTCTGTCCGTAAGGGCGTCGCCCCCTGCCGCAGGCTCCCCCTCCTGGAGAGCGGGGGATGTCAGAGCCATGTCGTGAGGCGTGGGCGCCGTCGCGAAGCAGCGTCGGAACTCCGAAGGGGGGCCGCTCGAGACCTCCAGTCACCACCCACCAAACCACCCCAACCCAACCCGAAGGCTCAAATTTATCCTCGATTTCCAGTGGGGGGGGGGTCGGGAAACATCGAAAAAACACATGTGGAACCCTTACCCCCCCCAAACCGAAATTCGGGTCTTCGGGTTGGGTTGGGGTGGTCTTGTAGGTAGTCATCCAGGTGCGCAGTGCATGCTTTCCGAGGGAGAGCTGCCTCGGAGGCGCGAGCACGGCGCAGTGCTTCGAGGAATGGTGGCCCTGGGAGCGCGGGCACGGCGCAGGCTGCGAGGGTCTGTGGCCGGGGGGGCGCGACTCCCGAGCCATTCGCGAGCGATGCCGGCCTCGGGGGCGCGCGCACGGGATCGTTTGCGAAGGACCATGGCTTCGGGAGCGCGGACACACCTTTCTTTGCTTGCGTGTCCCAGGGCCCCCCCAGAAATTGGGCCCGTTTCGGCTCCCCCCCTCGCGCGGACTTCAACAGTTCACAGTCGGAAGCAGAACACTTGTGGCGTCGGAGGCTGGAAGCTGGAGCTGGAGCAGCGAGCAGCGATGGCCCCGCGAGGGGGCCAGCGGATTTCTCTCTCGCTCTCTGCTGTGTGTGTCTCTCTCTCTCTCTCTCTTCTCTCTCTCTTTCTGTCTCTGTCTCTATCAATATGTGCCCCTCTCTCTCTGTCTCTCTCTCTCTCTCTTCTCCCTAACCCCGTGCCCCCGATTATTAAAGCATACCCCCCCCTTTATCCCCTGCGTGTTGGTTATCCCAAGCCAAGACAGTTGGTCGGGGGAGATGGGCGGCGAGGTCAGACTTCATTATCGCCAGGGGAAGTACGATTCGAAATTGCTATCTTCTGCTATTGAATAGGTGTTATACATCCTGCATCGCACTGCCACTACTACTATCATTACTGTTAATATTCTTGTTACTCGTACTACGACTCCAACTCCTAATACTTGGGCTACCAATGCATACTCCTACTTACTTTTACTGTTACCAGTACTACTTCTACTACTACTACTGCTGCTGCTGCTACTACTACTGCTACTACTCTAACTCCATGATGTTACGATTACCGCTAGATCATTATTACTGCGACCCGTACATCCTACCATTACTTACCGCTACCACAGCAACCACTGTCATTACTACTACTACTACTACTACTACTACTACTACTACTACTACTACTACTCCTACTACTACTACTACCACTACTACTACTACTACTACTACTACTACTACTACTACTACTACTACTACTACTACTACTAATACTACTACTACTACTAGTACTACTACTACTACTGCTACTACGGAGCCTATATCATACCTCCTCCTACATCCTGACCTCGCACTCCCCCCGCTTGCGAACTTTTTTATGCCTTGGTTGTAGTATCACCCGAGCATCCCCGACATGTGCTCCCCCACAAGACTTTTATCACTAACACTCCTCCCAATCCTGAACTCGCCCCCCCCTGTTGGCGAACTTTTTTATGCCTTGGCTTTCGCATCACTTGAAAATCTCCGACATGAGCTCCCCCACACGAGGACTTGAACACCTTCCTGAATCAACTTGTTTTTAGAGGGAATGTGAACAGGTCTGGAACTTTTTCCCCCGAACTCCCTTCTCAATCCTCCCTCCTCCATCCCTTATCTCTGCTCCTGCTACTACTTGTACCTCTGCTGCTCCTGCTGTTTCTACTTTTAGTACTACCGCTACCTCTACTACTGTTGCAGCTACTGTTGTCACTACTAGTACTATTCGTATCACTAGTGCTACTAGTATTGCTAGTACTACTAGTAGTAGTAGTAGTAGTAGTAGTAGTAGTAGTAGCCGTAGTAGTAGTAGTAGTAGTAGTAGTAGTAGTAGTAGTAGTAGTAGTAGTCGTAGTCGTAGTCGTAGTAGTAGTAGTAGTAGTAGTAGTAGTAGTACTACTACTACAATTACTACTTCTACTCCTGTTGCCACTACCACCACTACGGCCACTACTAATGTTATTTCGATTTCGACTACTGTGGCTATGACGACTGCGACTACGACTATGACCATGGCTACACCCGCTATCACTACTATTGTTACCCCCCCTTTGATTTGTCCCCGATGCTTCTCTTCTGCACTCCTCTTCCTCGTCGTCGTCGTCGTCGTCGTCGCGGGGGCGATGTGCATCCTTTCCCCCCCTGCCCTCCACACACCAGGATTCTGCCTGGAATCCGCGCAATCGACATCAGAGGATTCTATTTGTATCCCACGCACTAAAAATCAATGTGTAAATCGCCCACACATAGAATCTTATTGTAAGGTCGCGCACAAGGATTCTGAGGGTCACCCCCACACACACACACACTGGAAATCAACTTGCCAATCGCCAACACAAGGGGCCCGACTGTCAAGCAGCACAAACAGCAACAACCAACACAGCACACGGCACGCCCAACACAAACAAAGAAACCGACGTAGTTGAGGCT